TTCTCATGTAATGGAGATAATTTTACCTCATGGTTCAATGGACCCCTACATTATTAGGAGCTTTTGGTTTGGGTCAATGAATTATTAATTGCATTTTTGTGAAACCTTTAAATTTATGATCGGATGAGTAATAGTATGGTGACGTCAAGGGTGAGTGATAATATAGGGATATCGAGAAGCCTCTTTGTGTTGTTATGTTCTGCCTCATACGTTATAATTCTGAATCGAGTGAATAGAAGGTTAATCACTTATGCCTACACTAGTAATAATTATTAAAATTTAGAAATGTAAAGAAGTGTTTTGCAAATGGATTTGGTTTAGTTGTCTATTAATTGTGCACTAAAACCCTGAGCTCTATTATAGTTTTTTTTATAGCTGGAATTCCTTGGCTTAGTAAGATTTTTGTCCGTTTCATTCCACTTGTGTGATTTGGTATTTATTGATGTTTAAGAAGAACCCAGGAAATTGCCCGTATCATGGTTAAGCCTAGGAAGATTTTTTTTCTTTTCTTCCGTACGAACAAATTGTGTTAGGTCTATATTATATACTAATCATATAAAATACAAAATTGTTGGTAATGCTCTGAGATGTTGATGATTCTTATAGCTGGATGTATGAATGCAGTGAACTGTATGGCATGGTGTAGTGATATTAGACGTTAGACTTAGGCAGATTTTGGAATAGTAAGACGAAGTTTGGGGACAAACTTCCAAACAAGTTGGGGAGAGTGTAACAACCCGTCTAATTAGGAACCTATTTAAACTGCAATTAGGAATGAGGTAGAGTACTTGTCCTCGTATTATATGAAGGTTTGCTTTAGAATGTAGTTAAATTAAATTAGAGAAATTATTTGTATTACCATGATAGGTGAATACCTATTTAAGGCATGTGAAATTTTAGTTATGAGTATAGGGATAATTTAATTATTACATATAGAAAGCATAACTCTACTTATAATTATATGGGTATTCATTAAAAGTATGTGATTAATTTTAAGTTAATGAATAAACCCTTAGTAAATAATTAGAGGTACATAAAAAATTAGAAGGCTTGGGTTAATTCCTAAATAGGAAAACAATTGGGCCTTTGTTTTTGAAATTACCTTCTTTAAGGGCCACGGGCCAAGTCTCCAAATGAGGAGCCAAAATCAGCCCAAGGTACTTTCTCCACATGACTCCTTATCTCATCCCAAGCAAGTTCTACATGTCAGCTTATTATTGGTCTAGAATCAACCCTGTTTCCCTTATCCCTTCTTGCGCATGGTGTAATAGAAAAATGGGAATTCTGATTGCTTGTACCCTTGTTCAAAGTCATTCAGCGTGCCCCTCCTTGTAGCCAATGGGAAGAAAGAAAACTTTGCTGCATGTTTCCTTATTGGTCCATTTTAAATGCATGTCTTTCTATTGGTGGATGGTATCACATCCTTTAGTGTTGTATCTCCTCCCACCGTGCGCACATTTGAGGAAATAACAAGCATGATGTTGTTTCATTCTTGGTGAAACTTCGAGTCAGATGGTGAGGCCATAGTCTCATCCTTTTTCTCCTCTCTATGCGTTGGGGAACAAGCCACAAAACTCACTACTGACCCTTCCATCCAGAATCAATGAAGTCTCTCTCTCTTCCCAAATGACCGTAGGTACCAATAGTGAAGAACACATCAAAGAACTACTCCTTGTCGTTCCCTTCACCTTGTGCGCATAAGGGAGAATAAAGCAAAGTACATTCTGACCTTGGGTAGCATGAAAATCAGCCCTCTCACATCTCCATTTTCTCTCTCTATAGGCGTTGTTTGAAGGGGGCCGTAAGTTGGATGTTTATCCTTAGAAACAGAAACAAAAACACGGCTCTTCTTCCTTTCCCCAAACTGTGGCATGTATCAGAATGAGTACCATCATCTAGTTCCATTCCATCTCTTCATCTGTTCGGCCGAAGACATACCTAGGAGGTGAAGAAACTCTTTGTTGTTCCTTGTCCCATTCCACACCTTCGGCTGATGAGGAATCCCTCTGTATGCATAACCGAATTTAAGTTCACAGCCACCTCTCTTTCCCATCCTCTCCAGCCGAAACAACCATCATCAAGGAGGTGAGATGTTTCTTGATCTCCTTGTTTTTCATCTCATGAAGTGGATTGATGGAGTAGCTCTCCTTGCATGCAGCTGTGAACCCAGTCCTTGAAGAGTAAATAACCAACTTTGCTTGCAACCAAAACCAGGCCCTTAGGAGAGTAGAAGAGTAAGGATTAAAACGCCAATCTTGGGGACATCTACTTGTCCGATTGTGGAACCTGGGCCAGTTGCAAAGAGGTAATAAAGTATGAATCGAGTTTCCTTTATTTCTTCTGTTTCGGTTTGACTTATGTACCTAGGAAGTAGATTTCTGTCGCCATCTTTCCTTAACTCTGGTCGGCCACACAACAATAATAGAGAATGCTAGCAAGTGAATCTAATGAACTTCAAAACCTTTCTATCCTTTTCCTGTCTCGGTTCCCAAGTACGTCCTGGGAGGATAATTCTAATTGTTATTCCTTTGTTACGGCTTTGTATAAGTACTAGAAAATAAATTGAACCTGGCATGTGTGTTAATCTAAGTAAACAGCATGTTAGAAGACCTAAAAAAATTGCCCTCCTAAGTCTTGTAGGTAGGATGGTAAAAATCAGAATTTATGCTTGATGTTAAGGGTTTAGAAACCGATTCTGTATGCTAATTAAATCTTGGATTTTTGTTGTTGATTGACAAGTTGATAAGTAGTGTGAAGTCAGAAAATTAGTTGGCATATGAGTAAGGAAAACCGAAGATGGTGTGTTAAAATGTTAATCTTCATGCTTAATTAATGTGAGTAGGATTTGGGTAAAGGAAAAATATTAAGCCCCAACTTATTAATAACTGAATCTGTATGTGTTTGGTGGTGAGACCTACTGTGACTATTAGCTAGAGTATGAAATTTTGAACTGATGCTCACATGTTCTTTATGCTTAGTATTCGGTTATATGATATATGTATTCTGCTTTGGACTTGTCTTGATGGGAAATTCTGCCTATGTAAGTATTTGTTATTTGGCAGCTTGGTATTACATATACAAGAGATATATGCTATATGATTATGATTTAGTCATGCCTATGCACATCATGTTTCACCTGTGTCTGTTTGCGTGTGGGTCGAACATGCCATTGCATACCACATTATGCATTCATCTTGGAGACTGAAGTATATAATAAATATAAGCACACGGTTGAGCACGCATCATATAGGCATCCCTCCGGTACCAGGGTATGGGACACTTGGCTTCAGTCCGCATAGGTTGCAGTTAGAACCCTCTGAGGAGCCATTAAGGGAGGGACCTCCACTGTGCTTGTTAGTACGTGCACGACGGTGCTATGAATGTACTCTTTGGCATTATATACGCATCTTGATTAGTACTTTGGCGTTATATACGCACCTTGATTATATGTTAGCATCTGTCCGGAAATTTAAATGTTGATGCGACTGTTTTGGAATTTTGTACCTAGTCTAATATTGTTGTTGTATTGGTTTTAATGCCACACTACTGGGATTTCTCTCACCCCTTCGGGGGGCTGCATTTTTATAAATTGCAGGAAGATAAAGAAATATTTGATAACGCATGTCATTGGAAGTACTTGGTTGATGCTCTGCTGTTTGAGGATTACTGCTGTTAGTTCTGTTTCTGTTGGATTAGATACTGAAAGATTATATGCAATAAGATGTTATGAAGATTAGTAAACTTGTTTTGGGAATTGAATTCTGAAAATTTGATGAAGCCTTGCTGAACTATGTAATTATGTTTATGCATAATATCCTGAGAATCATGCACGATGTTCTTGCCGTTCCGATATCCAATTTATGTTATGTTTTACTTTCTAGGCGTTGGACATGATTTAATTGAGTAATAGTGTGAGATCTTTTGAAGAATTACATGATAGGATGTATATCCTGTTTTGAAAAAGAAGCGTAGCATGATATGTATATATTTGGTATTTAGTTTGCAAAAATAATTCTGCTGTATTTTAAAATTTGGATTTTTGAACTGTTTTTGTGAGTACTTTGCGAGTTGTTGTTCTGGGGTTACTGGCCTCCGATTGAGGTATATTTTATATGGACGTAAAGCCTCATTTGTGTACTTTCAGGTTATATAAACCTTACAATGCAATTCTGAAACCCCGATTTATTATGATTTTTACAAGTCCGGAAGTTTCTAGAAAAATACACTGAGTTTTTGGAGTACTTTACGAGTTTTGTTTCATGGGGTTATTCTTCTCCGATTCGCATATAATATATATGTAGGCGAAGCCCCAGATGTCTAGTTTCTATATTACAAAGAAAATTTTTGTGGATCGTTGAGCTTGATTTTATGCAAATTTTTCAAGACAGCAACGTCTGCTAGGAAAATAATATTTTCAGCAAGTTAAGAAATTTTGAAAGTGCACTCTGATTTTTGTAAGTGACTCGATTTCAATTATAACTTTTAATTAGCAACATCAAAAATGATTTTTCAGTATCAAAGCAAGGACGTTAAGAACTCTATTCCGCTTAGCAAACAACTCTCTTGGATGCATACAAGGGAGGGTGTTACAAGAAGGGTCAATTCAGCCCTAAATCTATAATCTCATGATCCCTTAGTTAACCTTTAATTAAGATTACCTTAAGAAAGTCTCTTGATCATTCCCCTTTGGCCAAATAGCACCCCTTGGCAATCTCCCTCCACCCTTATGTCTCCTTTTTATGCGCATAGGATGGTGAGAAAACAAGTTGATTTCTTGCAATTCCAATCAAACCCATCAGCCCTAGCCGACGTGTAATCAATAAGAAAGAAAGGAAATAGGTTTTGGTGACACTTGTCCAAAAAAAAATAATGCAATCAGCCCCACCTTATTTCTCCTCTCCATGTGCGCCTAACAAGAAGAGAGAAAGCAACTTAAGTGGTTGTCATTGTGTGCTAAACTAATTCAGCTTTATCTATATCCTATGTGTCCAGTAAATGAGAGGTAAAATCTAAATTGCATGCGTCTCTATTGGTCAAGAAAACTGCCCTCGTATACATCTCCCTCTTCCTTGTACGCATAATGTAGGGAAAAACACACACCTCTGATTGCATGTTCAGCCTTTGGTCAAGAGAATGGCCATTTTTCTATCACACCCTCTTCTCTTTGGGCGCACAACAAAGGAAAGAGACACCATTCTGGTCGCTCATGCATTTTGGTCCAGAAAATAATTTAGCCCTCATCCCATCCTTCCCTAAGCCGCTAGTCCAAAGAGGAGGACATCAACACTCAAGCTTACGTTCCTCTCTTTTCCCCATTGCTCGGTCAAACCCCAAGTTCAAGGAGCTGAAAACTCGATTCCTTGCAAGGAAGAGCGCTATAATTAAGTCCTGACCCATCTTCCCTTACATGCAAGAACAAGTGAGTATTCCTCCATCTTGTTCACTCTCTGATTTTTTTGCACATGAGCGTATGGGTGACCCATTTCTGTATTCTGTTTCTGCTCGACTTCTTGGGTGTTGGGAGTGTGAGGATGCTAGCACAACCCTTGGTGACTGCCCCCTTGGCTGAAAAGCGAGCTTTTAATGTACATGCAAGGAGGTAAGGACTCATTTTCAAGCTCCTCTCACCATCTCTGTTTCGGATTGTATGTGTGACAGTGGAGGATTATTGTTCTGTTATTCACTCCCCTTGTTTCTGCCCATTCGAGCAGCCATAGAATTGATGTTTGTAAACCCTAAAAAGAAAAACCGTGTGGAGCTTGGAAGAGAGCTCCTTGTCATGTTTTAGGACTGCTCTTTTGAATCAGTATAATAATCTAACCTTGCATGTTTTGAGTCCATAAGGACAGCATGCTATAAAGTAATTATTCATGGCTAAGGGAGAGAGGTGTCGTTATGTTAAAGAAGGAATTGAATACTTTAGGAGGATAATTTATGTTGGCCATTTTCCTTTCCTTAATTCTGTCATTTTGTACAGCCATAGGACTTGAGGCATGTGAGCCTAAACCGATATCTTGTGAGCATGGAAATAGCTCTCTTTAAATTTTGTTGGATTGTTTCTTGAATTAGAAAAATTAATTGAGTCTCGCATGTGTGACAAATTGTTGAAGGCAGCCTACTAGAAGGTTTTGTTCATGACTAAGATCCGATTTTGGGGCTTGAAAAATAGCCCTCATCATGTGTAGAGCCGTTTCGTTGGATTAGAAGGAAGTATCTAGCCTTAACCATGTAATGAATAAGTAGACAGCATGCTTAAGATTAGTTAGCGCATTCCTTAGACATGAGGACAATGTATGTAAATGAGAAATTGTAGGTCTCTTATTAATGGTCCAAACCGTGCATGTATGCCTAGGAAAACTTGAAATTTTTTATCTGTTAGTGAGTGGTAAAATTTAGTACTAAGTCAGAAAATTAAAATAGGAAGAGAACCATATAATTCGGCCAAGACCTTAAGATGGAAGCATCTAGTTAATGACTTTAATAAAACCGGAGTTGCATGCTAGAAAACTTGGGTGTTGTCACGTGGTAACCTTTGGTAATGAAACCTTAAGACGCACTACCAAAAACACGGCGTTCAGCGACAATCAATTTGCCACATTTAATAAAATCACTGAAAACTGCGAACGTTTTAAAAGATCCTAAATAAAAAGAAAAAGAAAATATGCACTGCACAGTTTGGTAACTAGAAAAAAAATGTCGTTGTATCCAAAATAAAAAGAAAAAAAACATCTCGCACAGACTCGCTCTTTATTTTCCCTGAAATTAGCAAAATTATGCGCTCCATCTAATTCTCTGACAAGAGCTCACAGCATAACACGAAGGAAGAACGCTTTGAGCTTCTCTACCGATTCAGAGTTGTATTACTTTGTCAATCTTCTCTCAACAAAGATCAATACACGCTTCAAGATTTCCACCTTCTTTGAAGAGCGGTTCTCCACCTTGGTTCTTCGTCCTTCATTCTTGGTACTCTGTTCTCCACCTTCTCTGCGTTGTTTTCATGATTCGTGGCTAGTTAAACCCAATTATATGCAGAATATAGGGTTAAATCTTTTGTCATTGATGTTCAATTGTTTGTTAGATTCACATTATGTCAGAGCCTAAGGTTTCACTAATTGAGTTGCCAAATTTCAACCTAAATATATATCCATTTCCATCTTGTGATTGATTGGTTTAGGTTTGCGACCTGTTTGTTTAAGGATATAGAAATTAACTTTTATTAACTTTTATCATTTATATACCAAGGCCTTGGAAGCATGACGTGAGAAGTGTTTGTAAGATTCATATATTTCTTGCTTTATGTTCAAAAGATGGCTGATGGGATTAACATTTTGCAGATTCCTATGTGCAAAAGAAGCATCCGATTTGTTTCACTAATGATTTTTTTACCCTCAACTAACTTTTTTCACCTACAAATTTGTGGTTATCTTTCTCTACATCTTACTTGTGATTTTAGGTTGGGATAAATTTTAATTTAAAAACTCAAATTTAAGGTGTTTGTATGTATACGGTTACCTTTAAAACTCCAAGTATATCCATCTTTTTGAATGATAATAGGTTAAATAGCAGTCATGTTTAAGATTTGGGAGAAGTTTTCATTAGGGATAAAATTGGTGTTAATTGGGGCTATGCATAAATAATGCTTGATTAAATACCCAAGTGAAATATATATTGTTAAAGTTTGTTTTGAATTGTGTACAGGATAATTGGTACCTTAAGCTTGAGGACATTTCCAAGGAATGAGATCTAGGCATCCAATTGAAATTACGACATTTTTCTGCATAATTCTTCTGCAACAATTGGACTAAAGCAGTTATTTTTTAGTGCAATCATTGCATGTGAAAGCTTATTTACAATATTATTAAACTAGAAAGTTCCAAAATTTTATCTTAACTATGCAATTTCCAATATGCTCATGAATGTAACTATCTTACTGTAAATTATAATTTAAGTCAGTTCACTTTAATGGGTCAAAAATTGAGTTATAGGAACGTTTTACAAGTGAAATCAGTCTCATTTGAAAGTTCATTTATAATAGTTTGAAAATTTTCATCTTGAATGCACGATTTAGTGAGCTTCAGTGCTTTGTCTTGACTTTAAATATAGGGAAATCCAGAAAAATCCATTACTTGAGATAGGTAACTTCGTTTGCAAACTCTATACTTTCTTATTACTGCAGATGTTGACGGAGAAGACTGTCAACTTGGGGAAAAAATATTAATTGATAATATGTTTTTTAAAATTATTTTGGAGTTATAGAGTTATAAAAAAATATAACTTCGTTTGCATACGTTAATAAATTTTCCTCTACATATACCTGCAAGCATTCAAGTTTCGTGAAATTGCATTGATGATCTTAATGGCATACTCATTGTTGTCTGAGGTATTGTAAGCTCACACATTTTGTCTGCTATTGATTTGGCATTAGTTGCAAGGCTAGAACAAATTGGATTTGGGTTCAGTCATTATGTATGTAGCTCAGTTTGGAGATTTGGGCTATTTATTAAGTTTTAGTTTTAAGGACATAACTGTTAATAACATTGAGATTTAGGTCTCTATATTTCTGAGGACACATACTACCCTATGCCACATTCTAGACATTCACTGGTAATAGCATATATAGTACCTTTTTTCTCTTTTTTTTGTTTTTTTGTTTTTTTACGCATTGGAACGTGCATGATTCCCTCTGCATTCAATGCTCTTATTAGATTATTGGTTTTTTTACTGTGAATATCTCACTTGCCTCAGTCTGGATATGTTCAAAGAGCACATTCAAAAGTTGCCTCAGTCTTTTTCTTTAATATGAAGTCATAAGTCATAGATAAGATTCGAATTTCAAAGAGCACATTCCTATTTATGCATAACTTGTAATTAATATAACAATGATTTACTAGGAAATTTTGAATCTCTTCCCTAGTCAATTCTGCAGTTCAATATCCTTCAGTTAGGGTACTAACATCAAAGAATAATGCCACTTTCACGAACTAGTGCATACAATCTGCTGATATCCCTATTTTTTTAAAGAAAAAAAAGGCATAATAATCCATTCTGGTTCCGAAAAGATTGGGCTCACATCCATTTAGTCCATGAAAGATAGGTGAGATCAATTTAGTCCCTTTATAATGGAAAGTGACATCAAAACCATCCTTCCATGCTGTAACAATCCGTGAGATTAAATTGATGTCAACTTCCTATGATTGAGGGACTGAATTAGTGCCATTTTCTTATTATTGAGGGACTAAATTGATAACACTTAGATTTCAGGGACCAAATTGATGTCAACTTAATCTTTTAGGTACCAAAATTGTAGTTTACTCAAAAAGAATAAAAAATAAAAAAATAAATAATAAATAAAATTATTGTAACTTGTGAAACGATTTTAAAAACTGAAGAAATAATTTGATAAATATGTAAAACTTGTGCTTTTGGAGAACTTTGGGAAAATAACATCATGCAATAACAAAATTATGGTGAAACCCTAGTTCCAACTTATGACAATGAGCTCCACACTCTTTCTTGTTTCTATTGATTAAATTATTCAGGATTTTTCAACCACATGATGTTTCCAACCACTACCTTATTTATTCACTTACAAATTTGTCGTTTTGTATAGGGATGTTGTCATCATCAAAGTTTGCCAACGAATTGCTAAGGGCACTAAGAGGAAACGAGGATTGGAAATTCAATATCACCAAAACTGAATTGCATACATTTTGGTTTCGGATGAAAGATGATTCCATTAACTCAAGAATGCGAATCTTCTTTGACATGTAAAAGTCCTCTTCTAGACTCTTCTCTTCACAATTTTGAAATTTGTTTGTAATTTTTGCTTTGCTTTACTTTAGGTGTAACAGAAACATGGATGGAAGAATTACCGAGATGGATATAAAGCAGGTTATTATTTAATAAACTTATTAGTCCAACTTACCATTGTACAATTTGTATGAATATTACTACACTATTGCTTCACCTCCATGATATCCATACAGGATCCAAGTTACTGAATACAAGAAGTTTACAAAAAGTAGAATGGCTGGCTTAGACTTCCCTAGTCACCCATCTTGTTTAATCAGATTCTTTTGATTTTTTGACTTAATCTCTTTCCCAGCTGAAGCAGCCACAAAGAAATACCAATTTGATGTGAGTTATTATATACATTGGTCAAAATCGGCATGCTTAACTATCTATTTGAATTTTAAAATTTAATTTGATGACACCATATGCTACTTTACAGATTCAAGTTAAGAATGTCTAATATAAAGTAGTGTATGTGTAAGAGATAAGTTTGCAATTTGTGGAAAAAAATCATTGTCAAGTTCTTACCAATTTTGTTGATCTGGGTATGCTCCTAATCAAAGATGCGTAGATAGATATTCATGTAGGTTAGTAGATGCCAATTTGTGAAGCTTTTTTTTTAATATCTCTTTTTTTCCATCATACAATCAATTTCTTCTACCTTATTATGTTGATGGTCCCTTTATGTATGTGTAGGCTTCACGAAGGGTTCGGTTGCGCAATGGCCCTTCTCGAACAAAGTCCATGCTCTTCAGGAAAGAGGAACCATATTATGGGAATAATGGGCAATGATTTATGGTACCATTTTCATGAACAAGGGCAGAAGCAAGAAAAAGGTGCCATTTTCCTTAGACTCCCATTCTTTAACATACCCTGCAATTAACCGCAAACTTTGCATTAATATATATGTTGCCTTGAATAATAGTCAGAGATAAGAAGAGCTGTCCTTAGGCTGTTGAGAACTTGAAAGATCATAGTTTTGGGCCATGTAAATTATTCTCAACTTTATATCACAGATCCTGCAAGTATATAATCACTTGCAAGTCCTAGAAGAACAATGTCCTTGCCAACCCTATCTATGTTGAGTAAAAAAATAGTACAGAAGAAGATTAAAGAATAGGTTTACTCTTTAAAACCCCTACACCCTGACTGATTTCTGCAACTTCAATCTGAAGTAGATGATCCACAATACCCAAATGTATTTCTCATTTTGTTGAGAGCTGAGCATCTCCAGTTTTAAACTGAAGAGAAAAAGGAAGAAACTGGATGTACCATAAACCAATAGTTTCAGCTTTGTTAATAAGGAATAAGAAATCTAAAATCTGGGATTGATTATTTGAAGTGTAGTTAATAAGTAACTAACACTGTTATATATACGTGTGGATGAGTCTTCGGTTCTATTTTGTTGCAGGTTTAACAAGGTGTGGGAAAAGTTGCAGACTTCGTTAGTTGAATTACTTGAAGCCAGATCTAAATCATGGGAACTACACCCAAGAGGAAGTTGAATTAATCATCAAATTACACCAACAACTTGGAAATAAGTATATAAGTTTTCTGTTTTTTATAATTTATTCTAAATTTAATGGCTATTGTTTATTTATTTTACATGAATCATAGATTTTGAGTGTCCAAGTGATCCATTACTTTTGTATATGTTTTGGGTGAGTTCTATACAATGGAAATGTTGACAATGCAACGCTATTATAAAACCATAAAGAAGATTTGACGTGTTGCTGAATTTACCGAGTTGATGCTAATTTTTCTCACAGGGCTTTATTTTATTTCCTTATAAGCTAGATAGTTTCAGGATAGAAACTAAACCATGCTCTGTATTAAGTGCTTTCAATTGTTTTATTGTTTTTTTAAATGACAGCAAAAAAAAAATTAGAATTTGGATAGAGGCATATTATAAAAAAATAAAAATGTATTATTTTTTTTATTTTCTCCCTAAAAATTAGCCACATTTATAATGTGGCTAATATAAAAGTAACCGTGGCAAATATAATGCTACCACACTCATGACAGCAGTAGCAAAGTGAGGAAAGAAATGTGGCCAAATAAATGCCACGCCAAGATTAGCCACATTTGGCAAAAGTGTGGTAGTTTGGTTTAGCCACGTTTTTTGTTAAACTTAGCCACGTTTTTAAATGTGGCTAAACAATCTTTTTTTTGTAGTGACGGTATATTAATTTAATTTAAGAAGATTGAAATAGATGATGAGTCAAGAATTTAGGAGAATGGAAAAATTATATAATGTATAGTAACTTCTGTTATGAGAAGTACTTGTTATGCGGCAGTTTGGTATTAAAAGTACATGAAGTATATGCTATTATGATGATGATCTAGTCATGCATAAATACATCATAATTCATCTGTTTCTTTTTGTGTGTGCGAAGCATATCATGGCATACAGCATTGTGCATCCAGTTTGGAAACCGAATTATAATATAAGCATATGAATAAGCACGCATCATATAGGCATCCCTCCGGTACCAGGGTATGGGACACTTGGATTCAGTCCGCATAGGCCACAGTTGGAATTCACCTTGATGGGAGCCAATATGGAATCTCCATTGTGTATGTTAGTACGTGCACTGCAGTGCTATGAGCGTACATTACCATGACGTTATATACGCACCATGATTGGTACTTTGGCGTTATATACGCACTGTGATTATATGTTAGCATCTGTCCAGAAGATTATAGGTTGATGCGACTGTTTTGGAATTCTATGCCTAGTCTAATATTGTTGCTTTACTCATTTTACTATCACACTATTGGGATTTTTCTCACCCCTTCGGGGGCTCAATTTTATAAATTGCAGGAGGACTTAGAAGCGTTTGAAGAGGTGTTTGATGACATGATCAAATGAATAAATCTGTTTGAGTTATGTTGTTGGCAACCTTGTTGTTTGCTCACTGTTTCTGCTGATTGTATTCTGATTATTTGACCTTGGTGTATTTTCTTAAAGGATGGCATGCCATGATGTATATTCTGTTTTGAAAAGAAACGTAGCATAATTTTTTATATGTCTAGTATTTAGTTTGCAAAAATAATTCTGCTGTATTTAAAATTCATATTTTTGAACCGTTGTTGCGAGCACTTTACGAGTTGTCGTTCTGGGGCTACAGACCTCCGAATGAGGTATAATTTATATGTATGTAAAGCCCCGGTTGTGTACTTTCAGATTATATAAAGATTATGTTCAGAGCTTATAAGCCTGATTTATTATGATTTTTACAAGTCAGGAGGTTTTTGGAAAAATACACTGAATTATCTAGTACTTTGCGAGTTCTGTTTCGGGAGCTAAAGGACTCCGAATGGGCTATAATTTATATGAACCTGAAGCCCCACATGTCTAGTTTCGGATTATATAAGTTTTACAATGAAATTCTGAAAACTCGATTTATTATGATTTTTGCAAGACAGACAGGTTTACAGGAAAATTATTATTTCAGCAAGCTAAGTTATTTTTGAGTTGCACACTGTTTTCAAGAGAAATCAGAGTTGCACAGCGAAAGTGTTTTTTTATAAAATTTACTTGCTGATTCTATTTTACGAAGTCAGTTTTCCAGGCGAGATTTGAATTGGTATCATCAAAATGTTTTTACAGAATAAGAAGTTTATACGATAACGTTGCGACTCTAATCGATTTTAGCTGACACTTCCCTTGGATGCATACAGGGGAGGGTGTCACATTTAAATTCCAAATTTAGATTCGAAATTTAAAATTAGAATTTAAATTAATTTTATTTAAATTCAAATTTCAAATTCGAAATTCGAAATTCGAAATTTAGATTTCAATTTAATTTTATTAATTTAACATTTAAATTAATTAGGTTACATCATGGATCAAGTCCAACTTGACCCATGATGCCACTTACTCTCTCTTGGCCCAATATGTGGACTTTTCCAACTTAGGCCCATTATGCCTTATTGGGCCCAAAACACACATGCTAGAATTCAAGACAACTTAAGGTGTTTTTGTGTGCGACCCATCAGGCCCAACATAGCCACTGACGTAAATGGGCTTGAGCCCATTAGGCCCAATCCATCTAATGACAACACAAAGCACTAGCAATGCTTTGTTGTCCCAGAGCTAGTTGAGTTCATCGAATGATCAACCTGTTATACCTATATTTGGTTACCGTGTGAAATGTCCCTTCGTCTCGGTTATTCATCCCATTGACCTAGGTCAAGGAAAACATATCAACCCTTGCGGTCTAGGGTTAGCTTTTTCCGAAATAGGAAATCTTCATTTACGGACTCTAAAGAGCGGGCCATCTCATGACTCCTTTACTATGCATAGATTCCCGAGTCCCGTAAATGTCATCCCGGTTTCACCGATCTACGGATAACCTAATCTCTCACAGAGATTGACGAATTCCTTTAGCTTTTCACACTAGTCCTGAGTCCTTAGGGCATGCCCAAGAGTATACCTACGAGTCTTCATTTTTCAGGCAGACAAGATATACAATAAAAGCAAGCCTTCCATAGCACATGTCTATACGACAACGTCAGGTCTAAGGAAAGACACACCCAAATAATAAGAGACATTACCTATTGATACTATCTGTGAGATTTCCTTGTAGTGTCTCTTTGTGGGTCAGTTCAGTGCTAGCTATTCTCCAATAGGTCCACCCACGAGTCAGCTAAGACATCTCCATGTCTGTAGCTCACGAGGACTCTACCTTGCATCTCCATGCAAGTAGCTGAGTTGTGCTAGTCTTACCCGAGATAACCAATGCCCATTATCAGTATCTCTAGACTAGGAACATATTTCTGGAAATGGACGTGTGGTGTCATTGAGTCCTCATGATCGTGATCCCTATCACAGATCCTCAATGTGACACCCGTTCCATTCCAAGGGCTTTATCCAGTTACTCATATTCAATATTTGAGACATGCAATATGAAACAAGATAAATAATGCTTTTATTCATAAAATATATTCATAACAAATAAAGAAGTACATGGGTCTATCTGACTCTCAGATTGTCTCTAGGACACCTATGTACTAACAAGAAGAAGAAAGAATGTGGTTCTTCAGGATTCCCACCCGAGCAAATAGGCTCATCATCTGCAGGGGTAAAGGTGTTGAACCCAACCGGGTTGCCTATTGGAAGCCTGGATACCACTTCAGTGGTCATATTGGACCTAAAACTCAAAACCTCTTCTGTAACACATGGAAATCGCTGCTAACAGGAGCAGAGCCTTTCTCGGCTGGGCTCACCTCGGCTTCGGGTCTATGGCTGGAAGAAGAAATCTCCACATTTAACTCTGCAGAATGGGACTCCATAAATACCTAGAACAACAAAGTGGCAGGATTAAAAAGCAAGAAAAGTACGTAGCAAAGAAGATACGTACCTGAACTAAACAAACTATTATAAGAAGAGCTTGACGAATCGTCTAATTCAACCAGAGAGGTAGAGGTAGATGAGCCGGGATGGTGTAAACAACTGCCTAATACTAAGTTGGCCATGAAATCATTCCTCTTCTCAACAAACTGAGCACTAAGGTAAACGCAATTGAAGCAGGGCTCTAGACTCTTGTTATTCGGGTGAGCTGACATGCTTTGATGAGAAGTGGAATGAGGAGCAGGGTTATAAGTTGGAGCGGGGGTCGAACATGGAGGAAATGAGGTTGGACCCAGATTATGAATAGGACGTCTTGGTAAAATCCCTAAGTTACGGTGGAGACCTCGGTTTTGCCCTCGGATTGAGGGGTGGGATGAGGATGCCCCATGCTCCCTCCGCCTCGATAACCTCCTAATAATGCATCTTGACTGTCCTCCTCGGTTCGAGGTCTACCAAACAACCAGAACCTCTGCCCTCGGATTGTAGGTTCTGGATAAACCTTTCCTCTTCCTCTGCGAACCCTTCTTCTTCCTCAGCAATCAATTCATCACTACGACCAAAGACGCGAGGGCAAGTAGGTCTCCCTCGAGTAGTGAAGTTCCTCTCACCCATACCAGAAGAAATTTTCAAGCTAAGATATGGTGGAAGATAAATAAATAGCAAGGAGGTTTCACGTAAACAATGTAATGTAAATGAATGAAGAATAATCAGACAAGAACAAATGGCATACTGAAGGTGCAAGTGTAATAATACCAGAACTCATCGTGACAGAACAGCACACGCGGCAAGTTTAAAGTGTATCAAGAAATAACAAGCAGGAAATAGCATTTAAATTAAGCAAGCAGAAGCAGAAATCGAGAGAATGCGAGTAGACGCACTTGAAGAAGTGAAGCCTGGAGAAATGATGAAGATGGTGAGTGAAAGAGAACTTACTTCTATAAGAATGATGCAAAAACAGGAAAATGAGAATCAAATATTGAAGTTGTTGGGAAAACTGAAGTTGAATAGGTAAAGACCCGCGAAGCCAAAAGGGCAAGGGCACGAAAGTAATTTGATAGTAGACTTGAAGGATGTAACACCCCGTATATATCCGGTTTGTTTTCATATCATCGTATTAAGCCACACTTAATTTAAAAAAAATGCGGAATATCTTTTTCTTTTCAATTATGATGTCGTTAATCATTACCAACTTGATTACTTAATCATTTTCAAAACGTCGCCTGTATGTAAATTGCAAAAGACAGCTAACTGAAAAACCTCAATATAAAATTAACATCAATGTGTCTCTAGTCACGGAACTACAACACGTAGACCGGACAACCCTGATAGTTTATACAACTCAAGCTAAAAGTACTAGCATCAATG